ATCTTTCTTTTAGTAAAGACGGCCAACGTGCTGGCAATGATTACTCTGTTGTATGAAACATGGTCATCCAGACATAATATTTTCCTCCATTTTATGAAACTAGATACGTGTCCCATACATTTCTTTGGAATATAAATAAGGATTGTATAGTTGCTTTATTCTGTTAACATACGTGCCGAGAAAGATGTACTGCAGTTTAGGACCGCTTCGTTATAGCATCCAATAGCTGGTGTCCCTCCTCCTGAGCGTGTATGTGATTAGCAAGCGTAGCAGCAACAAAAGCAATACTATATCATTCTTTTTGCAGGCGTGCTGCAAAAGGTAAGAAGGAGATGGTTAGTATTTTGCATTGATATTATTGGAAAGTATTCTGAACCTGGTCGGTAGAACTTACCTGGATCTCCTTTGCTGCTGCTTTATTTGCCAGCCGATGTATCCTCGAACAGATGGTATCTTGCCTGTTGTGGACATAAATGGTCAACGTGTTCTTTCTTCCCAAGAAAAGGAATGCTACTCATCTCATCTGGCTTGCCCACTACTCCCAAGATCTAAAGTTAGTACAAAGTTGAGTCATCTATTTTGGAACGCAGGGAGTATGGGGCAAGGCTGAAACCATTCTTCACCACATAGACACAGTTATAATAATTCTTCCTTCACCACATGTCACTGAGAGAAGATATCTGGCAAGGCTGCTTGAAAAATCGCGCTCTGCTCATCTCCCCTGCTTTTCAACCATACATACCTGATGGATGCTTGCTTACCTGGAGGCGTATTATCTGCTGGAAGGTTGTCTGTTACTGTCAGTATTGATTTATTTGATTACCAAAGGTCAGTGCTGTTTTTCGCTATTTATTCCATTCTTCCTTTGCATTCAGAGAGATTTGTTACTGTTTTTCATCTTATATCAGACGCATGAAATTTATAGCTGTCAAGATTTGTTTATTTCTTTGCATTCAAACACCACATCTCATTGTGCCATGACACTCCAAACACATACATGCCCCAAAGAAGAAGAAAAACACACACATACGCACAACCAACCCATCATGGGCCGGCTGTGCTCAGGAGTTGGTTGCCGCCATTGATCCCAGCTAAGCCCGGTACTAGCCGAGGCCCGCCTCCCTGAGTAACTACGAAGGCAGCCATAATGGTATTTCATCTCTCAAAAAAAAGCCATAATGGTATTTCCCAAAATCACTAGTTAATTTGCAAAGGTCACTACCACCATCGATCTCAGGTTGCAACAAGTGTCACGCTGCATGTGCGTCATTTCTCACAACCTGGAAGTTTTTCATTTTTTTCTTAGATTCGTTTATTCAAAATGTTTTATCTCTCAAATCGTGCATCCAAATCTCGAACTATTTTCACTGTTGGATTCCTCGGGCTGAGATATTCAAAACTAGATCACATGTGGATAGGTTTCGACGAACTTTTTTTCATGAAAAAACCAAACGGAAGCATGTTTCTTTCCCTTTTCGAGAGGCAAAATCGTGCCTCTCGCGGAAGCAAATTCATGCCTGTATGATGAGCAAAGTTGTGCCTCCCCCCAAAAAAAGGAAGCACATTTTTTTCCTTTTTCGAGAGGCACGACCGTGCCTCTTGCGGACGCAAATCTGTAACCACAAGAAGCAAATTCCTGCCTCTCACGCAATGAAAAAAACGCATTTCTCCTTTCCGAGAGGCACGCTCTCGCGGATGAAAAAAAACCGCGTTTTTTACCTTAACCGAAAGGCATGATCGTGCCTCTGGCGGAAGCAAATCCATCAAATGAAAAAAAATGCGGAAACACATTTTTTTTCCTTTTCCAATAGGCACGACCGTGCCTCTCACGGTAGCAAATCCGTTGCTTCATGAGAAGCAAATTTGGGTTCTAGCGGAAGGAAAAAACCCATTTTTTCCCTTTTCCGAGAGGCACGACCGTTCATGGAATCGTGGAAAAAAAACAACACTCCAAAATGATATCAAAACTAGAATTTTTAGAGCATCAATTTATTCCACGACTTCCACGAAAGTTATTTCGTGCTGAAATTTCACAAGCATACAAAACATTTGTCAATAACACAAATAAGTTCTCAATTTTTTTGAATACTTTTTTTTCATTTTTACTATTCATCAAGAAGAATTTGACCTCTGGAGCAGATATTCCACGTCCTAACCACACACCCTAACCACACACATGATGGTATTATATCTTGTGGAGTAGGTGTACGTCCATATCTTTACCACCATATCAAATGAAGGCCGTCTGCTTAAGCTTTTTATATGGGATATAATTAGCTAATTACGGGGCCAAGCTAAGATCATTAGGCCACTCATTTCCCCCACCTAGCTAGGGTATCTCCAGACAAGCTAAGTTAGTTCCATCGGAATAAAAAGATGATGAGATGGAATTCAAGAGTTTTCTAGGCTCCATCTCTCTCACGGACCATTCTAGAAATGCGACACTTGTGGGGACCAGCTAAGAGAGCTAAAATAGAATTGTCACATGGAATTTAAGGGTTATATTTTGTTGGTGACTTGATGGTACGGACACTGCAGACTCGTGGACGAAAAATCTGGATCCACCAAAATAGATCAATTCGTTACACTAGTCATAGAAACCGTTGGCACCACAACTGTTTCAAGACTCTCTCTCTCTCTCTATGTGGAACCCTTTGCATCACTAACCTTTCAATCCTGGGTTTTTGTAAAGGACGACGTATCTTGATTCGCATCGCAGAGGACAAAATCAAGTCGTTGTCAGGCATGTGTCGCTGGACGTATCAGTCATGTGATATGCATCTCCGTCAAACTCGATACGTACAAGCCATGTCGAATGCATCGATTATGTCTCTATCAGGGGTCATATGCTGATGCTATAGTTTCGCGCAGCAATAGCTTGTGAATGTCACTGAGAGGGGTTAGCATTTGCAGATGTTTTAGATGACAAGTTTGGTTGTATGCGGTTGTCAGTTTCTTCACAAACGCATGTATCATTTGAAAAGAAGAGAAATTTTGTAGCAAAAAACGGCAGGATTTGCCATATTCTACCAGGTAAAGTTGCAACAAAAATATGTTCACTTGTCATTCCGCTTCCAGCTGAAGTTCGTCAATTATCATCACCGTATAGACTAGGTGGATTTATCTTCTTATTTTTTTGCAAGAAAGTCCTCCAAAACCAGAACTATATTAAAATTTCAACAACAGTACATAGCACCCCAAAGAAACTCAATATTAGAACCAGATCCAAAGAGCAGCTAACCACCTAAACAACAAGAGCTAAGACGGTGGCGCGCCCCTACCTCCGCTTCACCCAAAGCCGGCTTGAACTTTTCTCAGAGGACACCTACGCGGACGGGAAGTTTTCGACCTTCTGTCCTGCTGGACCAGCACCCTAGACGAAAGGGCCACCTTCGTTGAGAAAATGTGAAGAAGTTCATCTTCCACATAAGTGGAGACCATAAAATACTCCCAACGCCAAGAATCACCACCAGCAAACGAAATCCAACAGCTCCTCCCGCTAGACGGAGAAGGCGAACCAAGAACTCACGAGCTCCCCTAAACAGCCTAAAAATGACCGAATTGTCGGGTGAAGGAACAACATGAATCACCTAGATGGATATAACTTAAGAGAACATACCATTACATGTTTGGTGATAAGATTTGTGTTTGTTAGGCGAGTCACATATGGCACCCCCGATGTAGATATTATTTGGCGGTAGTATGTCAAGGAGGCGGCTATTGAAATCATCGTCAAGTCTGATTCTTCTGTTGAAGATAAGAATGAAATGGGTCATCCTCGTTCGAATCAGCGAGATAGACAACCTACATTTTGGGAACTGGTCTTATCAAGGAAAAACATATCATCTCTCCATCAGTTAGACCGTTCTGTGTAATGAACCAAACTCATCCTTCGCCTCCCATACGGCTTCTTGTCTCCTTTCTGCAGTTCAGTGTTGTAAGTGACCACATGACTAAGAAAGGGCACACTCTCTTCTGTTAATTCACTGAACTCTAGCCTAGCGTTGCATGGGACAATCTGTGCAACAAACACAAAACAAATACACATCAGATACATTGAATTTTGGAAGCCCTCAACGAGCAGATCGATATTGAATGATGATCCACTTGAAAAGTTTTTTGCGCACTCCGACATGCATACTTGGGCACACCGTCATATCCTGTTTGACATGCATATTTGGCACAGCACCATCAAGCACACATACTATTATGAATAAAGCAAAACTAGCATTTATAATTATAAGAAATATTGTGACATGCATACTTGGCACACCATATCCCGCTAGAGAGTATTTAATTAATTGACCATTGGATATTTACAATTGCAACATTTAGGAAATTATGCAAATAATACAACATGTCATTAATCATCGATCACCAACAAATAAAGAATTTTCAAATATTTTCACACATATCAATCCACACGTCAACTAGCATATTGAAATTTTCATATGTAGAAAAATATTGAGATAAATAACAAAAAGAAAAAGAAAGAGAAAGGGAAAGCCGCCCTAGCTAGCTCACCTTGGGGTTGTTGGCGTCGAGATGGGAGGGGTGGTCACCTTGGCGTTTCCACAGGGCTCTCGGCATACTGTGCATAAGCCGAGTTCCTTTATGTTTGCCTATGTACCTGGCGGGGCATGGTAGAGCTTCCGATGTGCTGTATCCTACTGTTTGCCGCGAGCTACACTCGGCTTACTTGCCGTTTACCACGATCCCGTGTTCTACTTACTCGCCAAAGAGCAAAAAAATCGGTAACGACGAATTTTTCAGTAGTGCTTCTATGTTGTGTTTGTTCACTCAATTGAATATGTATGTACTTTTGTTAATATTAAAATCTCCAAAACATGTTATATTTATGAACAGAGGGAGTACAATCCAACAAACATAGGGAGCACATACGCAGCAAATCTATATGAGTGACTATAACACAGGAAGGAGGAGTGAAGGCTACCAACATTACTTTGGGATCCTGGATGGGTCAAACGCATGCAGTCGCGCTACCGCCGCGTCACGCGCGCCCGTAGCGGCCTCTTCATCACCTTGAAGAACCCATCCAGCTCCGTGAGGTCGACGCCTCCTCCCGCCGGCGGTGCCCACTCGAACTCAGGTACGAGCGCAGCGATGAAGCTTTTAACATGCATGGTGGCGAGCCCTCCTCCCGGGCAAGCCCTCCGCCCCGCGCCGAACGGCATCATCTTGATCTCCTTGGGCCCCGGCACCAGGCCCACGCCACCCCCCTCGCCCCCAGCGAGGAAGCGCTCTGGACGGAACGTGTCGGGGTCCGTCCACGCATTCTTGTCCCTGCCGATTTCTCCTAGGTTGAAGTGCGCCCGCATCCCCTCCGCCGGCACGGCGGCGGCGGCGCATCCCAGGATTTCGGCGACCGCCTGATCAGGCACGTCGTGCAGCAACACCGGAATCGGCGGGTGGAGCCGAAGGCTCTCTAGCACGACGGCGTGCATGTACTTCATCTGCCGGACGTGTGCCTCGGACAGTGCGCCGTCCACGGCGTCGACCTCGCGTCGGATGTTGTTCTGGACCTCTGGCTGGAGGACGAGGTGGGCGAGGGTCCACTCCATGCTGGACACCACGGTCCCTGGCCCAGCACCGAGGAACTCCGAGAGAAGGCTCACCAGCTCGTCGTCTGTGAGAGGGCGCAGGGCCTTGCCGTCGGCTTTGTCGTCGTCGACGGGGACCCGGACGTCGAGGAGGTGGTCTAGATATGCCGGCAGGCCACCGCCGAGCTTGAGATGACGGTTAGCGTTCCGTCTTGCTTTGACCAGAGGGAGGAAAAGCTGCGCCTGCCTGCCTCGGAAGGCGAGAAACCGGCGCCACTGCCTCCAGTGCAGCAGCTTCGCCGTCTTGGAGCTGGCAAAATCCTTGGTGCCATCAACGGCCAGCACAAAGGCCTGGAGCAAGTCACGCATGGCGCGTACGTGACCCTCGTCCACGCCGCTACCGAAGCACATGCGAGCAACCAGTGGAAACACAGCGGCGTTGAGGATGTCGCGGACGACAATCTCGCCGCCGCCGCCGCCGCAACGGACGCGGAGGTCAGCAACGAGGGCATCCATGGCCTCGAGGCGCAGCGGGTCCGTGTGTCCAAGACGTGACGGGTGGAGGACCGCGGCGTTGAGGGTGCACCGAAGAGCGCGCCAACGCGGACCGTAGGGCACGGACGTGAGGTTGTCGTTGTGTCTGCGGCGACGCCCGCTGACCAGGGCCACGGGGAATAGGTTCAGCGGTCGGTTGCAGAAGGCATCAGCGTGGTCCATGAGCGCTCGACGGGCGATGTTAGGGTCGTGGATCTCGATGATCGGTTGTTGACCATCGTGGACGGCCCAAGCACGACGCCGGAAGACGGCAACTGCGCTGATGCACAACACAAGGGAAAGTAGCAACACAGTTAGCACGAATTCCATGCTATGTATGTATCTATATGTATCTGCCTACACCCCTGGATATTGGTTGGGATGTTGCTGGGTTTTTATAGACAGATAGGCAGATGTTGCCCACAGCAGCCGCAACAGTGGCATGTGTTAAATTGTGATCCAAATTCTAGTGAGAAACGTTCGCAGCCGGTCAACCAGATGCCCACGTGTGCCAGGTCATCTAGGTGGATCGTAGGCAACCGCTCATCCCCAACCTTATTCTTATCTTCTTTATCTCCATGAATCCGCTCATCCACGATATCCTGCTTAGTTGACAAATATAGTGCTCATTCTTTTTGCATGATGCTTCGTAATATGTCATTTAATACCTTGTTAAATAATAGTAATAATTTCCCTAAACATGACTAATTATTTTAACTTTTATAGTGTTAGTAAAACAATAAGAATATGTTTTTCGAACATGTGTAGATACTCAAACAATCATACACCTGTGTACTATATATAAATTTGTGACTTGATAATTTTGTGCCCATTGTCTGTGCACAAAAAATCAAAGGATTGTAATCACTTGCAGGTATTTTCATTGGTTGCTCAATGTTCAAAATGATAAATATAAAGATCTTTTGTGTCAGTGGTAGTACGGTTTTGTATTTCTCTTATTTTGTATATGTACACAGTTTAGTTTCCCACAGTTCAAACTTTGAGAGGGCAATTGACTGTGAGCTAGCGAACCAACCTGTGGTTGGATGGTTAGAGGGACAATGGTATCCCCAGCCCATCAGGATTCTAGTCCTGGTGCTCGCATTATTTCTGAATTTATTTCAGGATTTCCGGCGATGCACTTTACAGTGGGAGGCTACGTTCCGACGAGGCGCCTACGGTGACTTCGTAAATCTCAAAATGATATGCCGGCTCAATCTTTCGAAGGTGCTCATAGAGGTAGGGTGTGCGTGTGTGCGCTTATAGTGGTGAGCGTATGCGTGTATGTACGAGCGCTTGCGTCTGTACTGTGTTAAAAAAATTGACTGTCAACTAATTAATTATGCACAATTGGAGATTAGTTGGCTCTTTAAACATCACCCATGCATGTGTGCCTCGTGATATAGCAGCGTCAGATTAATATATTATAAGTATACGATGCCTGTCAAGTAATTATGCTTTAGCTATGAGCAGTTGCCTAATTAACGTCCCCATCTTCTGAAATAATATAATTATTTGTTGACGTACGATCCGATAGAGGGATCGGCTTCATATATGTATGTATCACCTAACATGACGTTGTTTAGAGTATTCAGGCTAACTCTTCTATTGTCGTTCATTAGTTGCGCAATCAGGGAGCAGTTGGTTCTTGAACGTCACTCATTTGGACAATACTTATTGTTTATATAGGTAGCTTTAATTAGGAGATATTTTGACAATGCAAATCGCTTAGCTTGTCGTGCTGTTTGGAGAGTATTTGGAACAGAATAACTATCCTTCCTTTTTTGTCTGATAGCCTATCAGCTCGACACGATCGACACAATGTACGATTATGTAGAAGCTTGCAAATTAGTTATGCACAACCGCAGGGAGTAGTTGGCTCTTAGACATGATCCAAACTGTATTATAGTCTCATGTAATAGTGTCCCTAACAATATGTAAATAGGGGGTAATACTTCTTTGTTATACTTCGGTTTTTCTTCTTCGTTATACTTTTTTTTGTACTTTCACTATTTTTAGTTTTCCTTCTTTGTTCTTTATACATTTTTCTTGATTCTTTCTTGATTTTCTTCGCTTCTTCACTTTTCTTTTTTGCTTCTTTGTCGGTTTTTATTTGTTTTCCCTTTTTCACATGTCTACTTTTTTTTTCAGTATACAGTGTACATTTTTAGTGCAAACATGAAAAAAAATTGATACACGTTCGACATTATCCAAATACACGGAAGCAGTTTCCAAAATATGCGTTGGTACAATTTGCAGTAGCAATAATTTTTGTTTAAACTACGGACATTGTTTAACATTGTATAAACATTTTCTAAATTTAATGACATTTTCTTGAAACACGAGAACCTTTCTTTTAAATGTCATATCACGTTTTTTGTATTGCAATATACATTTTTTGAACCACGAAAGCATTTTCATTCTATAATTTTTCTAAAAATGTCACAAACTTTTTTTCAAACATGAGATTATTTCTTGAAAATGTCACATACAGTTTTAAGTGGAAATAAACATTTTTCTATCCTACATGAACATATTTTGACGTTTATAAAAAAATGTCGTGAACATTTTTAAACCATGAGAACATTTCTTTAAAATGTTACATACATATTTTAATGGTAGAAACATTCCTTTTACATACACGTATTTTAAATTTAAAATACATTTGTCTGAATCGCACGAACATTTTTCTACTGTAGCAAACTTTTTTAAAACTATCAACCATTTAAAAGGCGCGTTAAATACTTTTTGTACTATGTTAAGAAAAATATTTTCCCAATTCTTAAAAAAAAAGTAAATTTATGTTTTAGAAATGTATTCATTTAAAAAAAAGGAAAAAGTGAAAAAGAGAAATAGTGTGACATCATTGTGATGTGATTGTAACCTCAACATCACCAAACCAGCAACTAGTATAGAATCTGAGCCTAGGATGCAAAAATAGAAAAAATGGATCTGTGCCATCAGATGGGAGATTGATGGCCCAGATTTGGGTCGCTCGTTGTGTGCGCAAAATTTACAGAAAAGTCCACCCCTGAAAGCTAATTTGGTCACCATGCCCTCGTCGTTCAAACCCAATCCACTGGGCAGAGGCAGCGCGCAAACCAAATCTCCCCACCGGCGGCTGCGGCGGCGGCCCAGATCTCTCCTCCATGCTGAGCGAGTACGCCAGGTAGAGGCGGGCCAGATTCCTCCTCCATACTGCTCCATCTCTCGATGGCTCCCTGCCGTTTTGTGGGTGGCGTCCCAATTTGAGGCGGATCAGATCGGAGCTCGTCGGCAACCTCCGCCCCGTAATGTGCTCGTCCCAGCCTCCCTTCTGAAGCTCCGGCAGCGGTGGGTTCGGCGGCAAGCCGATGGTGGTTTTCTCGGTCCTTCCTGACCAGCCCGTGCGACGAGGTGGTTCAATTTTAACTTTTACTGTATTTGCTAGTAAATTTGTTCTACATCCTAATTTTACTATCAGGTAGATTTGTGCTACATTTCTCTAGTTCTATTTTCTTGTTCATGTGTCCCAGTTGTGAATGATGCATTTTGACAACTCCGATTTGATGGTGCATTGCTACTGTTCTAGGTGTTTTAGTACTCTAATTTGAACATCTTGTTTCACTGATTAGTATTCTGGAGGATCAAGTTGGAAGGTTGAGGGCGGTTACATAAATAGCTTAAAAAGATGGAAAGAAATTAAATTGATTCTGCTAGGCAAAAATAATTGAAATTGGACCATACGTTAGCATATCAAAATTTTGATTCATATATACATGATTCACCGCTGAAAAATGGATCTATTTTAACAGGGAACAGTAAGAAGTGTCCCACTATATATGAATTATGATTCCCAAAGATGGTGGCATCGATGGTCAACAATTTATGAACCGGAATACTGAGGGTCAACAATTGGAAGTGTCATAGTATATATATTCTGTCTCGTAGACTGCTGCCGTAGTCTGCGTCTTTATCTGATCCTTGTGCCTAACGTCTGACCTACAGAAGATGATCTCATTTCTGACTTCACATCTCAGGACAAGTCAAACAAAAATCTCATCTCAGGATTCAATAATGGAGGCGCTACATCGACATTAGGATAGCCCATAGTTGCAATGGCCACAAAATGTTAGGTACATCAGGTGAGAACATCCGTCTAAGAAAGTTAATAATATGTTGATGTACCTAACATTTTGTTAGTCCCTTGTGTGATGTTGTTTCGTACAAAATTGTTTTCAGTCATGGAATCGGTCAATAGTGCTCAAAATCAAAATTTCAGCGATGGTAGCTCGTTTGTACAGATTAAGGGGCAGTTTGGTTCAAGGCCTGGACACTATGCCTGAAGAGGACTCGTGCCTGGATCGAGCCTGAATTGTTGAAAAAATTCGCCTGGCCAGGCTAGCCTCGTGCGAATGCGTTTGGCTTGCATCCTGGCAGTGCAGCTACTTTGCAGTATGATTAGTACATAAAAGATCCCATTCTCATCCCATGTACGCAAAAGAAATAGTATAATATTGTCAGGCACGGCACCAGGCGCACCCAGGCGTCCCTCTTCCAACGCCTGGTCCAGGCTAAGTAGGATGCCTAGTTTATACTCCAGGCTAATCAAGCTGTCCCATCAACAGGCCAGGCTAGCACTCAATTTTTCAGGCATGAACCAAACACTATCCAGGCACACCTCAGGCAGGCTCCAGGCCAGGCATGATTGAACGTGGGCACGATCCAAACTGATCCTAATTCCCCAATGCTTGTCATTGATGATTCCAGTACACTGAAAAAAACAATCGTTTTATCAAGAGGTACACACACTTCTGAATTTTATGTAATGTAATTTTTCACTTCTGTCCATGTTCCATGATTTCATTAATGTTTTATAAGAAACTATACACCCTTATCATCTATCACGTCCATGCCAAACAATATTTTAAATAGCACGCTATTTCGCCGTTATAACGCGGTTATAGCATATTTGGAAGGGAGACGTTACGTTTTGGCAAAATCGGACGCTACGGCGCTAATCGCGTAATTAGCGCGCTACACACGCTATAACGTTGTAACGTTGTAACATTACAACGTGCAGACCATGCAAAACTGAAATAAGCACAGCCCAGCTGAGGGAGTTCCGGACTAGGGGGTGTCCGGATAGCCGAACTATCATCATTGGCCGGACTCCAAGACTATGAAGATACAAGATTGAAGACTTCGTCCCGTGTCCGGATGGGACTTTCCTTCGCGTGGAAGGCAAGCTTGGCGATACGGATATGTAGATCTTCTACCTTTGTAACCGACTCTATGTAACCCTAGCCCTCTCCGGTGTCTATATAAACCGGATGGCTTTAGTCCATAGG